CTCCCAGAGTGCTAGGATTACAGGCGTGAGCCACCGCACCCGGCCGGGAGCTGGTAGATTTGAATGGCTGTAGGAAAGAATCTCGTGTTGTCCCTGTCCTCGTCCAGCATCACACGTTAGCCTCAGCTCCCCATCACCACCCCTGTATCTCTCCGTGTTCTTGGGATGATTATGAAGAAGCTGCTGCTAAGTGTTCTGTATTCACCGAATAAAACAAGTTGAATAAATATAAACCAGTCATCCAATCAGTAATATTTCTGAGTGTTCATGGGCATAGAGCAACATTCTAGGCCCTGGGAAGGGAGACATAAAATCTAGAAGGTATGTCTCTCATTCCTCAAAAATGTACAACCTGATCAAGGCAGCAGAACACGCACAAAAATTAAGAACACTTACAAGCAAGTGCAAATAAAGATGGTGCAGTGCATGCATGCATTAAGTATCCAGTAGAGACACCTGGTAAGCCTCTGGGGGCTGAAAGGAGGGCCCACTGACTTCCTGCAGTCTATCTGAATTTTGAATCACGTTGCCTAAACCAAGTGACTATAATTCTCAAATGGAACCAAAGGTAGGATTTTCCTCTTTATCCAAGGCCTTTGGGACAGAAGGAATGATCAATAAAACATAAACCACAACAGAGCCTGAGTTAGGTTTCTTCTAAATTCACTAGCTTTTCAATTCACTAAGCAAATATTTATTGAGCACAGGAGGTGGACAGAGACTCTGGGTTAAAGTGCTGTGAGACATAAAAAAAAAAAAAAAAAAAAAAAAACAAGCTCTATTTCAAGAAGTAGTTTCCAAGCACAGAGTATCTGAAACTGCCCACCTGTGATACGAACTTATGGGAGGGAGAAAAGTGGCTCAAGAGGAACGAAATCATTTCTAGAAGCCAAAACCTAAACCGAAAATCACAATATACCTCCATTCTCTCTGCTTTTATTCATTTTACTCATGTGTTCTGTTTGAGCTAGAAATCCATGCCGAACTACACACCTAGGACAATGTTAGCTGTGCATTTTAAAATTTTTGTCACTTACCTACTGCCTGTTCAGCAGTGCTCCACAAGGAGCTAAGGCCCTCAGGCAGAAGACTTCCACCCTAAGAGAGCCAAGCAAAAAATGCAAATCCATTCATTAGCCAATAGACAGACATCCCCCAAAGGCTCACCGTGCCAGGCACTGTGCCAGGCTCTGGGGTATAACAGCAAAGAAAAATGCACACCCAGAAGGAGTTCACAGTAAAATGGAAAAGAAGGATGTGTGTAATGGTCGTCTCTATGAGCCCACTGAAGACGCCAACCCAAATGCCTAAATCATTGCAGTAGCACCAAAAATTGGGTTAAAAACCCCAGATCATGTTTTTGAGCTTGATTGTTACGAACAGATTACCTTCCTGTGAAAACTTCAAACTCCACAGAGCCAGAGACTGTGTGTGCCTTGTCTTCACAGTGCCCTCCCAGGTGGAGCACAGAGCAGGGAGCTGGTAGATTTTTTTTTTTTTTTTTTTTTTT